CTACGCTACAGCGCTTGTAGCGGCTATTTTCCGCTACAAAGTGCTGTAGCCTAGCGTAACAAGGCCTTTTTTGGCCTTGTTAGCATTAGCGCAAAACTGCCAACGGCTACGACAAAAGTCGTTAGCTGTTAGCGGTTTTAAGCTACACTATGCTACGCTAACGCTACGCGTAGCGTAGTGGGCCCACCGTTGATTCAGACCATCAGTTTCTTGAAGAAAAAAAAGGAATTGGAGCCGCCTTCTTGACAGCCCCCTGCCAAAACTTTGAAATATGCTGATATGAATAAGATTTCATGGTTTCAAGCCCCAGTTTTGAATACCACAATTACATGATTTTTGTTTTGTTTTGCGTTAGCTGTGGCTGATGATGAAATCTGTCTAACTTTGTATGGTGGCAGGTTTAATTTGAAAACAAGAAAAAAATTAGCTATGTGCATGTTTTGAGGCAAACCAAAATTCCCCAGAAATGCTCTAGGTCCAAGATTCATTGCAAACACAATATTTCTGTTATTCAAAATTCAGACATAAAATCCTACATAACGGCATAGTTTACTCTTTTTTGGCTTGGGATTGTCAACAAAATTTCATGCATGGCGACAGGTCCCTGTGAGAGAATCTTATGTGAAAGGCCTTTATGATTTTATGTCTGAATTTTGAAGGGCAAAATTTGGCTCGAGAGGAGGCTTTTGAAATTGAGAGGGCGGGCCGGGAGTGGGGTACACAGCAGCGGTGTCGGCAGCCGAGATTAGACCTCAGAGTGACTGAAGTCGAACCGGATACTGGCAGAGAGCATTGGCGACGAACGCGGAAAAACAGATTCAGGACACTCGGAGACCGCCGGATTTAACCCACCTGACGCAAACCCTTGAACCAGACCATCCTTGCGCGCGCATTTTCACGACCACGCAGGAACATGGGAGCGAAGCCGACGGACACGGTGGCCGCTGGAAAGAAGCCGGAGGCGGGCGGGACACTTGCCAAGCAGGAGCCGGCGCATTCGAGTGCGAAGCGAGTACGAGGACCGACGAACATCTACTCCAAGCTCCTCCCGATCATCCTGGTGGGAAACAGCAGGCCCGAAGAGCGGCCATCCTTCCTGTCCAAACTTCTGCCTCTACTCAGGCCAGTCCGTCCCTCAAACTTCCCCGGCTCTTCCCCCCTCGGAATCTCTGGACATTACGATCAAATCTCCAATAGCGTCTGGATTACCGCCGGTAGGGTCATCCTGTGGCAGCAGGGCTTCTTCGGTAAGGGCAGTCTTAGCAGGAGTGAGCCCACGTGGCTCCAACGAGCCAAAAATCGTAAGCTGCTCGAAGTGTTGGAGGACGACAGATATCGTGAGCACAACCCTCCGCATACCCACATCAGGTACCACATGAGGTACCGAATCTTGATGGTCCTTTACCTTACTCACTCATTGCGTTCGTTCGGCTGCCCTGTAGTCAAACTGACAGCCGAGGAGCTGACGGCAAAAAGGCGGGTGGAGCGCAAGGAAAGCAAGATACAAAAATCGAAGCTCAAACAGCTTGCAGCCGCCTCCGAGTCGGCCGTTGCTTCCGAATCAGTCGTTGCTTCCGAATCGGCCGTCGCTTCCGAAGCGGTCGCCGCCCCCGAATCCGTCGTCGCAGCCACTGGCGAAGCAGGCCCACCAAAAGATCCCAAATTGCCCTCCAGACAGAAACTGACGAAAGCAATACCTGAAGAACTCGCAGCAGAGGTCGAGAAGATCGACGACCTGGAGCATCTGCAACTCATGAATGAGGAGGCCTTCTTCCTGACCTTTGGCTTGGGCTGTCTCGATGTATTTTTAAAAGGAGAGGTTCGGGCTCTTTCCACGTATAATTTTCATTTTTTTTTCTGTATCAAGGGTCCTACCCTGAGCCCAGTTGCTGATTCGAGTTCCCGTTACCAGGAGCCCGTTGGTGGTTTGGAGGCCATGACGATTTTGGAGATGTGGGAGCTCTTCTGCCGGGCATCACTGGCAGGAAAGCCGGATCAAACGATCCGGGCGGACAATCCGTTCATCCTGTCTTACGTGGTCTACCACCACTTCCGCTCGCTCGGCTGGGTCGTCCGATCGGGCATCAAGTTCTGTGCCGATTGGGTGCTCTACGGGTCCCGAGGCCCCGTTGGTGGCCACGCCGAGTTGCGTCACTCCTCCTGCTTGCTGCCGATGGCTGACTAACATCTCTGGCTCTCCACATATCCATCAATTGTATAAACAGATTTGCAGTCTGTATGATCCCAGTGTATGCTGATGGGAGGCCAGTCGAGATGATGGAAGACCGGACATCGTGGAGATGGCTGGGAACAGTCAACCGGGTCTGTGCAGGAGTAAAGAAGGTCAAGCAACTCTATCCTCTTCTGACTTCCTCGAGGTGCTGACCGCGGCTGACAAAGTTTTTTTTTTTTTGCTTTGGGTGAAATGCTTTCCTAGACTTTGATATTGGTCCATGTGGTCGTACCGGACGAGGTCGAAGCTGATGACTTGAATTCTCCACATATCTTGACAAAATACATCATCAAAGAGATCGCACTCAAACGGTTCATTCCTGCCCGGATGAGAGACTAACCTTGATCATACACAGTGGATGAACGTTCTTTCCACCTGAATCATTCTGGCATCCCATCCTGTCAAAAAACAATACCTTCCTGTCGTGAGACATGTGATTATTCCACACTCATATAGATAGCACCTTCCTAATCCATGTCACTTCTTCACGCCCTCCTTTATCTCCAACAAAACCCACCAATGACCCAGGCCTCCTTGGCCAAACAAAATCGCCATTGATTTGCATGCCCGTGATAGTCGATGCGGCCTTGAAGTTAGAATTGCCCCGCCGTTCACTCCTGGCCAACAACAGTTGAAGCGCACCGTCGCTCAGAGACCCCTTTCATGCTGTTTTAGATGCACACTGCAAGTTCAATAATCTCCCCTCTAGCTAAAGGGCCTACCTATTTCATGAGGAGCAACCTCGAAAAGTGAAAAGTTCGACCACCCCAGGACTCGAACCTGGAATCTCCTGCTGAACCACCGCCCCGGATTGGAACGGATCGTAGGCAGGCGCCTTGACCATTGGGCCAGGCGGCCGATGCATGGGATCTGCAGGGAGTACCCACTCTGCGCAAACACCCCCTTGGAACCTTTTGGACTCGGAGAATCACCAGCATGGAGTGTGATGTGTGTGGGTGTCAAACTTCCACAATACATTCCAAACCATTATATTCAAACTCAAAACCTAAATGTTTGCTGTACCGCTAGGAGGTAAGATTGAGAAACTGTGATGCGGAGTAGAGTAATATGAGAGGGTGATTGAGAAACTGTGGTGTGGAGTAGAGTAATATAAGAGGGTATTGTGTGGGGATGAGGATTCCTGCATAGAATCTATAGTGGGGCCAGAATTGCCCTTCATTGAGATGTTTTTACCTCCAGGATAGCTATGGCCCGAGCTGCTTTGATCCCCATGCAGAGCTCGATTTTTGTGGTTCAGGGAGTGAATCTCTAACAACAACCCTAGCTAAAATGCTTTTTTGTCATATTACCATCTGATGGTGTGGACATCAACCCCTGAAAGGCCTCAAACAAGCAATCCAAAAGTGTAGCATCTGTCATCAAACAGGTTGGCATGATCTGCAATTAAGCCTCCGCACATAAGTACAGGTACAAAAAGGTGACTAAATCAATCATTGGTGAAAATCCTTTTTTTGGTTCTTTTAACTATTTTAACTTATATGTATTGTGATAATCTTAAATAATTTAATTGTCTTAAATATTTTATTTATCTGAACCATTTTATTTATCTTAACTATTTTAGCTTTTTTGGTTAAAAAGTAAATCCAGTTATCTCAACTATTTTCAACTTTCTCCAGCTTATGTATCATACTTCTTAAGCTGCCCCTGAGTTTCTCAACCCTAATGACAGCCTTGGCAAGGGGCCACACCACCATTCAGCTTGGACTCCACTGCTACACAGATGACTGCTCCTCAATCACCGCGGTCCCCAGACTTGGTACTGTTAGGAGGGTAGAGCCAAATGTGAAAAATTGTGGGTAAAAATTCTGTATGGGTTGCCTGCCGTCCTCTGGTGCCCAGACCGTCTCCACCTCTGGTTCCCAGACCATCTTCACCTCTGGATAGAGGGGGGGCGCATCAAAAAAAAGGCTTTCAAATGAATTGACGCTTTTCGCAAGTTGATAAATCGGTGTGGGGACTTTAGGGGCAAAGGGAGAAGCAAGTTTTTGGTAGTGGCGGAGATGATGCGGCGGAAAGACGGAGCGGGGAGTAAATGGGGGGTTTCGATTTTGGGGGTTCGAGTGGGCATTGGAGGAGGATTGGGTGGATGAGGGTTGTTCCGGAGGGCGCTGCAGGGGCAAACTGGACCGGCGGAGCGCCAGGGGGGTTTGGATATTGTGCAGCAGGGGGCCTGAGGAGCGAGGCGGACGCAGGGGGGCGGTGTTGCAGGGAATGGGAATTGGTGGGGAATCAGGGTTCAGGAACTCAATGGGAGCGGGAGCGGGGGGCAGTGTGGGCCTGTGCCTCTAATGTGGCAAGCAGGTCACCAGGATTTGCAAAGATTAATAATAAAATGAAAAGAAATGTTTTTATTGATTTTATTATTTGAGAATAAATGTAGGTATTGATAGTGTTTACGCAACTAAGAACTGGTGTAAGCAAAGTAAATCTTCGACACCTCTTCCTCAAATGAAACTGAGGAAGGTCTGAATATTAGTCAGTCCAATTTATTAAGCCTGATACCCTGGCTAAGGTCTTTAAAAGGAAAACCTATGTAGTCTTGTTTGGAAGGATGGCTGATAGCCAATAAGAGGGAAAGGAAGAGACTTCTTAAAGAATCACAAATAAAAGAGGTTCACCAGAAAGGAGACTCACTTGAGATTTTATTCCTGACACTTTGCAGCAGGAGGGATAAA